TTTTTTATTATTAAAAATATATAGGGATAAACATTTATTTAAACATTCAAATTTGGTTTATTTTGATTTACCCCTCCTATTTTGATTTATTTTGATTTTGTCCCTCTCATTTTCTATTGTTAGTTATATCTTGACACCTTTGAACTAAAATACTGACTCTGTCCCTGGATATAACATCCGAAGTAAATATGAAGGAAATACAACCTATATAAAGGAGTAAACTCATAATTCTAATATTTTGAAACTAAATCATTAAATTCTTAATGTTTATAAATCATATATTATACTCCGAAATGTCTTATATCAACAGCAACCAAATGATTTGTATAATCCATCATCATGTTTTTAACTCTTAATGAGGTTCATTTTTTTTCTTATCTTTATCCATTGAAATAAAGAAGAAACTCACAACATAAAATTATTAAGAACGAATAATAAGTTAATATATAAATAAAAGGGTAAACTACACATTTAGTACTTAAACTATCAATTTTGATATGTTTTAGTACCTAATCTTTCAATTTTTTCAAAACCATACTAAAAGTTTAATTTTTGTTTCACTTTAGTACCATGTCGTTAAGTTTTTTTAAAAAAAAATGAAAGTCTAGATACCAAAACAAGTTTAGTAACTAAATCATACTTAAATTTTGAAAAAAATGAAAATTTAGCTATTAAAACAAATCAAAACTGAGAGTTTAGGTACTAAATGAGTTAAGTTTTTAATGACAGGGTATTAAAATGAAACAAAAAGTAAGCTTTAGGTATGATTTTGAAAAGTTTAAAATTTTAAATATTAAAACAAATCAAAACTGAAAGTTTAGGTACTAAATGCATAATTTACCCTAAATAAAAAATGTAAAAAGGCTTCATCCATATTGATCAAAGTGAGATTATTTTTAATGGTATGGGGTGATATAAAGTAATATTTGTTTATAATATTTTTTAATTATTAACAATATATATACACTATACATCATGCATACATTAGTGTTTGAACCTAAGAAAAAGGAAAATAATATTCTTTTTAACCAAAAATCATAAATAAATTATTTACTTATTTAAATATAACATATTTGAAAATCATTTTCATATATTGTATAAACAAAGAAAACATCATTTGTTTCTCTCTTTGTTGGCAGCTAAGAGCATATTTTTTTGTAAAGATAGAGACAGGCTCCTATGTCCAATAAGTAGCTTAAGTTGCATCATGTCTCACTTACCCTCCACTATTCCGTAAATCTAAGCTTAAACAATAAATAGATAAAGTGATCTTGATGATAAAAAAAATTATTATTATTTAATTTTAAATTTTGGGTTCGAGTATTAGAAATGTCAAGTGTTTATACGTTCAATGTTAAATGATTAAAAATTACTAAATTTGAACAGATATTACCTTATACTTATTCTAAATTCATAAAATTTTAAACAAGAATAAAAAAAGAAAAAAAGAAAAACATGGATCCGCATCATTAACTGCCCCCCTTTGTTTAAGAAATTAGCTTACAAAACTCCAAAACTAGGTTGGGACACACCTGCCCTACCACCAGCCATCTGGTAAAAATGATGATTATAGTCTGGATGAAAATGGAGGCCTTTTAGGTTGCACATCATACTTTGTTTATGCTCATAACATATGCTTGAAGATCCCAATTTTTTTGGTAAGGGGTTTTTTTATTTATTTTAATAGAACTAAGTCATGATAAATATAAAATTAACTAAGATTTATCATATCATATCAAATTAAAAATATTATGTTTGTATAAACGTATCTAAATTCATTGTTGGAGATTAACAAAAGGTTAAGATATGAAGATTAACTTGAAAGTTGAGATCTTTTGAGAAGATAGGTTTCTAATAAGGTAAGATAAAATATAAAATAATCTATTTCTTGAGACCATTATCTCTTTATAAAGACTGAATATTAAGCCAGATTATTATTATTATTATTAATCTAGAGTGATTACAAAGTAATATATGTTTTAAAAATTCTCTATCATTTGACAATAAAAATGTAAATACCCTTGCAGTCTCTGGTGCTCGAATCTGGAATTTCTAATGATAACAACGTCCCTTGTTGGTAATGTTCAAATCTCACATAGTATTGAAAACACTATTGAGAATGAGTATTTAAGGGTTGGATTTTCCACTTCTTTATTGAGTGAAAGAGAATAAAGGGAACTCTCAAGCACCGTCGTCGTCGATCTGTCGTGATTGTGGTCGTGGTTGTACATGTCTTCGACACGTCCGCACGGATATTATATTTTTAGAGAAAATTCTTGTGAAATTTCTCTTTGAAAGAAACAAATAGAAAAAATATGAAAGATTTCACTTTATATTTATAGACTGCTAAAAACTGTTTAAATTCAAAATGATAACAGTTAATTTATGAGTTATCTAAAATTAAACAGTTTTTTTCTAGTCTTATCACCATAGTTTTACTTTCAAAACACACTCTTATCCTAGTCTTCGATTGTCGGTCACAGGGTCAATCCAGTATTTTCTCAGATTTCAATCATATTTGTCGAGGCTAATCTCAAAGGCATGATTTTTGAAGCCTTGACTGACAAAATGAAAAAGATTTTGATCGATAAAGATCGAGGAGCAGGAGAGACAGGCAAGGCAAGCCACGTGCTGCTTAAACCATTGATGTTGTGATGGTAGGGCTCCCTTGAGCGTCAACTTTACCACCAACTGTTCATCATTAAAAGCATCGAGGCCACCAGTATTCCAACCTCCTTCGGAAAAAATAGAACGTGTTAAATAAAAATTGTTAATTTATTAATAGTCAATATATATTATTAATATAATATTTTAATATATGTTTAATTAATGATATAATATATGTCACATTATTATTTTAAATGACGTAATATATATTACATCAGTAATAAAATATTAATAAAAATATCACGTCAATAATATGTATTAACTAGTAATTAACAATTTTCGTCAAACAATGTTTATTTTGACAAAAAAATTAAAACGTTGAGACTAAAACGTTCCAAAAAAGAGAATAAGGGACAAAATGACTATTTGTAACATTAAGATTAATTTTGTATTATACCTTAAATAATGCTATATATTGATTGTTGTAACTCTCCATGTTAAAGAAATGATCACTAATTCAGTTTATATAAAGGTAAACATAAGATCTTATGTTAGGATAAATTTTATATTTAGTAACTTATTTTATAAATTTAAAGTATAAAAGTATAAAATTTTAGAGCTATGTAATTAGATATCAATGAAAAATATAAAAATTAATTAAATTATATAAAAAAAATTAAAAAATATATAGAAAAACAATGACCGTATCCTTTCAATCTATCCCTGATCAAGGAATCACATGTTCTCTTGCTTCAAGTTTTGAGTGCTTAAATCACATGAAGTTTCCTGGGATTGTATATTTTACTAAACAATGTTGTCCATACTACTTGCCTTCTTGGGCAGAAACGTTAAATACACGACCATATTTCATTTAGTAAACTTAATTATTGAACACAAACATCAATTTTCAGCAAAACTCTACCCTGCCTTTTGCATAGATAAACCAATCTTAGATCCATTGTTGGATTTCTACCCCTCTATAAAGCCTCATAACTTGATGGTCTAGTAGCACGAATGACCTTTAAATTATAGCAAATCTTTTAATGCAATACTTGTATTCTAAAAATGTTTGATTTTAGCATCTAACATTTCATTTCATATATTAAGATAATATGGTAGCTTGCATGGAGGTCGTAATGTATTGTCACCATAGTCAATGGTGAAAGCTAGCCTAAAGAAGTCGACCTTTAGTTTTAAAAGGCACAAGGCAGACCTAGACTTAAAGGTTTCCTAGAGCCTAGACGCAAGACACATGATGAAGACTTGCACCTTTTGTAGACAAGGCGCAAGACGAAGATGTACGTCTTTTGTAGACATGACACATTTTTATGTTAAAAATTGTATCTAGGCTCATTAGCTACTGGATCACTCTTGAAGCATTTAATCTCCTCCTCACACTACTCTTTTCCCATTACTTGTCTCCTCAAGAGTCAATTCCCAATTCCGATTATACTTTTAAAACTGTCATCACCACATATTAGTATAGTAGAAGGCCAAATAGAAAAGATCCAATACAATCAAATATGCAACTAGTTTTGGCTTACCGCACCTTTTCTGCATCATGAGTCAACCGGAAAGCTTGGTTACTCAATAAACCAGAAACTTTCAATACTATTAATTGCATGGACAACAACATGCCGTAACATTGATGTTAAGATGGTCAAACAAAAAGGTAAACTAGATATTACGCAGGGAAGCCCAAACAGAACAACATGTGAATACATAGCATGTCAAAAAACCACCAACGATTATAATCCCCGCACACGTGACAACAACATCAGCATAACATCTACTAATGACTGTTAAGTAAGTTAATTATATATATATGGCCTCGTCATCATTAAAAAAATACGAGTATCGGTAAGAATGAACCACACTCGAACATGATTCCCCCAATGACAACTCAAACTATAAGCTCACCCACATTTTTGTAATCATGAGTTTGTGCATTCTCTAACAAGATATAAGGGTATTAAAGTTCTTTGGCAAATACATAGATCCCAATGGTGATGAAACCTAATAACCCTTTGATGCTTGAGATCAGATCAACAACAATCTTAGACCCAATGCAATAGGTAGAAATAGTTTTACATTTAAAAAATTCATACAATCACTTTAACAAGTGCCACCCACCAATTCGAATTCTAACATATATTTTCCTGTTTTCTGCCGAAAAACATAACAGTTTAAGTTTAAGTTTCCTCTCAAAGAAAATAAGCCACAAACAAAAGGGGGCAGGAACCTGAGATTTGGAACAAATGAAGATCACCAAGACTCCAAGGATCAACCAAATATAACTAAGCTATTCAAACTAGAAACTATAGACGTTCCATAAGCAATTGTTCAATATAATTCAAACTCAAAATCCCACAAAGCAGACAGCCCTTCGTGTCTTTCGAAGGAAAAATAGCATCATGAAATTTTCCCCAATTGCCTTGCATCTAATACGAACAAACAGCAATCCTTCTGAATAACACATGAACCTAAATACCATCTTTGATTTTTTATTCTCTCCATTTCAATGTTAAACTAAAAGGATACCCACACAGGGAAAAAAGGTATAACAAAGACAATAGATAGATACACAGTTAAGTGTAGACGGTTTAGGCTTTGTGATTCTTCACCATGTCATCGACATCCAGCTCTACTTCCAACACTGGGGAATCCTTTCGCATGCTGTAATGACTGTTACAGGAACATAAAATTTTCAACACAATCAACAAAACTTTTACCTAATGTGAAACCAGTGGTTTTTAGTTAAATAATTACTATAGAAGAGTTACCTATTCTGAACAGGACCATGATCAACAGCTGTTCGCAGACAATATATAACTCGACCAACTATGTCAGTCATGGGAACTGGACCAAATAACCGACTGTCCTTAGCTTCCTATCATCTCAAACAAAGGAAAAAAAGAAGAAAAAACATAATGGAGAATATGGGTCAGGTTCTTCAAAGCCATATAAAAAGTTGAATAATGTTATTCATTATTCGGAATGGTATAAGAAATATGAATGTAATAGCTAACAAGCAGCCTCTAGAATCAAATATGTGAACCAGATTACTGCTTGTTTTATAGATTTATATAATAAGAATAACAACCCAAACTTTTAGTGGTCGTATTACTAACATTTTATACCTTGGGCTTCAATTTTTCATTGTCAGCCAATATCCAGCACTGGTCCTTTTCAAGAACAAATGGCCCATCTTTTTCATCCTTAGACACCATTTCATATCCTTCAGTGGCAGCCAATCTTCTGACGAGATAATTATCAGAATTTTCAGGGTCCTTCACAACAATGACATCCCCAACAAAAATCCGACTGCCCAGAAAAAGCATAAAGTTAGCAACTCTTGAAATCATATCCAAACTCAACGAGTAAATATGAAAGATATATTGAACAGAAAAAATGGAGAGAGAAAATCATAACAAGATTCGGTTCAGAGAGCATTGATTGAATCATCAAGCACATGAGTGAGGATGCCAAGTTAACATTCTTTTCACCTCTGCTTATCTTCAGAAATATGTGCTAAACTGATGCTCACAATGAACACAATGATTAAACTTAAACGAACAACATTACCTTCACGGAGGTTACATGCACAGATGTTTAAATGGATTCATTATGATTCCCAATGGAACAACTCAAACCAGAGTTACAAAACCATAAGTTTATTTCTCAGATGCTTTAGTGTAAAAGCAGCATTACTTTGGGTCTGCGGATGGAATCTTCCGTACAAGAAGAGTACCCCCTTGTTCGCCAATAGTTGGGGCCATCGCCTCTCCTTTACTCCAGTGTAAGAAAGTCAATTTTCCCTGAAATACATTTTTCCAAACTGCGTCGTGTAATTCCCGGTCACTGATTTGACCTCTCTTATAGCTCTGTTCCTCATCAAGTTTTCTGTTAGAATAGTATAAGAATGCTAGCAAGAAAATACGTAGCCAAAGTTCTGCAATTTCTGAAGCCAATAAAATTTATGTAGCATAACAAAACAGAAGTAGTAACTAACCATAGAAGCCAGCTAAAATTATAAAAACTCCATTGTCAGAAATAAACTAAGCATGAAGACTTCACAAATACAGCTGATGAACCTTTATTCTATTTTTGAATATTCCTCTAATCCTCTTTAAATTTCCAATTTTTTAACTGAAGGATTTAGTGATATGAAAATTGGATGAAACCCTATGCACCTTCTAATCCTCTACTACAGGATTTTCTTAAAGTAATGAAATTTGCAGTAGCACGCTTGTTCTTGAACTATTGACAAGACACTGCCACAATACTCCAGCTTTGGCCAAAGCGAGGTACAAATTGAAAAAGAACCAAGATTAATTGCTCTCACTATCTTCACCAGGTACCAATAATCTAATATATCCACCACCCCCAACCCTATTTATATATGATCTTCCACCTTTTAACAAACCCCACATTGATGGACTTAGATTGCCATATTTCTTTTCAACCAAATAGGTTTCAAGAATCATACTTGCATCAAGACTATACAGCATTCCATAATGTATGCGACTTGGTTGTAGCCTTTGGCCTAATCAAACCTATATTTGAACACTGAGTTCAATATTCTGTCTAAAAACATGTTTCAAGCAAAGGATTTACATGTCAATATCAATTAATATACGGATTTGAAATCATTATATCCGACGAATTTCCATACACTTGCAAAGAATTTCACTAGATGCAATTATTTGTGTTATGTAAAAGATGCATAAAACATAAAGGTAAAACAGATTCTGGAATTCCAAAGCCAGAACCATTATCATGATGAAATCACCCAAGCTCAAAACCCTAAATTAAAAACTGCCTAACAATCCAAAACACATAGTTCGTGCATTAGAAAAGAAGAAATGGACAACATGAGTGAACTACCCAAACCCCAAAAAGGAAAAGTCTCCACATTAACCCAATAAAATTATCATCAAAAGAACTCAAACTCCGTTTCTAAGTCATCAAAAAATACGAAATAAGCCATGCCCAATGCTCCGGAATCATAAGTTTTCCGCATATGAATTAATGAAAACCTAAAAATAAAATTCGAAATCAAATACTGAATGTGAAGAGAGGTAAGAAAGAGAAGATGCGACCTTCCAGCTGAGCGTGAAGGAGTACTCGATCTTGTGAACTAAGTATCGACACCATGTTGACAAAGAAACCATTGCCGGGTTTTAACCGAAATGCTTTGTTCGTTCTTTCTAGAGTTTTCAGGTTGTACAGCTCATTTTGTTAAACCACCTTGATGTTTTTTATTGGGTAAACTTTGCGTTTAGTAATTAAACTATTAGTTTTAATCCGTTTTAGTACCAAACTTTTATTCTTTTCAAAACTATGTCCAACATTTAAGTTGTGTTCATTTTAGTACACCACCATTAAAAACTTAACGCATTTAGTATCTAAACTATCATTTTAAATATGTTTTAGTACCTAAAATTTAAAAAAAATTCAAAATTTAACTTTGAGTTTTTAGCGGGAGTATCAAATTGAAACAAAAATTAAACTTTAGGTATAGTTTTAAAAAAAATTAAAAATTTAGATACTAAAACTCATAGTTTATATATTAAACGCGTACTTTACCCCTTTCATTTTATTTTTCACTCTCTTTTATATTTTGCACAGTGATTTATTTTTCTATTTTTAACGTCAACTTCGAATAGCAATTTTTTTTAAAATGTCAAAATTTCAACTTTTATTTATAAAGTGTTTTTCTTTATCATTTTAAGGTAAAGTTAATTATGATAAATTATGAAAGTAAAGATTTGTTGATGTATAACAGATGTGATGGTGGTTAATTTAGCTGTGAGTGATGGAAAATGAACCAATGGTTCATCATTTTTGAATTGGACGTACGAAACGGAAGAAAGAGATATCCCTCCAATCCTTTTTTTTATGGGAATAATGATTTATTAAAATCAAGAGACAAAAAACAACTTATGAGCCTCATTAAAAACCTCCCTAATTTAATTGGAGGAAAAGAGTGCTACATAAGACCAATACAAGGAAAAAACCAACATCAAAAGTCAGGAGACAACAAAAGCGAATAGAGACAATTCCAATGGAAAACATTGCAACCGACCGAACAAAGCAAGAACTACAACCAACTAAAGATACATATCAAATCCATCCGAAGAAGCAACGTTAACTACATCAGCTCAAACAGAGACAGCACACTTTGATGATCGTGATAAACAATTTCAATTTCCTAAATGCCGATGGAAGCTGTAGAAAGGAAATCCAGTTCAGCATTCTGATAAAGTGGAAATGAAACAAATTGCAAATTCCCATAACTTGGCTTCAGATATTGCGTGGCTGCAGATATGTTGCTTGCCCTTGCATTATTTGACAAGACTTACCCAATAAACCTAGGGTCCTGATTGCTTTCTTTACCAGCTAAATCACTGAAAACGACAATTCCTCATGAAGTATTTGCCTGTGTTCTTGATCCGTTTGTAAATCCAGATTTAGCATTGCACCACTATGAGCAGGAAAAACATTAAAGCTTGAGGAGCCATGAAAGATGCCTGAAGAGAAAACAACTGGAATGAATAACAGATGGTCGTTTCTAACACTTCGAACTTGAATAAGATCCGGGTTTATGCTGTTGGAGAATTCCTCCGTTTGCGGAACACTCAGCTTATCTCATAGGCTTAGCTATGCCTCATGCGATTCAGCTCTAAACTTGTTCATATCCATGACAAAGATAACACTTGCACCTTTGATTTAACTAAGATTTCGTGGATTAGCCTATCCAAGAACCTCATGCAACACCAGATCAGCTTCCAGCAGGAAAATGACACAATTCAACGAGTTTAATATTCCATACCCAAGTTCGATGAACACTTTTGAATGAAATGCTTAAGGCCTCCACTTTGCACTGCCTCGGGAACTTTGAGAAGTCTTCATGGTCACCCTCCAAAGCTGAGCACGGCACCCCCCACAATGTCCCCTTGCGCCCCACTAACCTCATCCAATAAATTATGAAAACCAAACAAATGGCGCAATGTAAAATGCGTTGGTTTCCCACTACACAATGCTTTGGATTTCAAAATTCCACCTGCGCAACGCTTAACAACTAAAAAACCAGCGCAATACAATCAAAATCAGCCCAATAGTCACGCACATGCACTCCACTTCCTACCTCCAATGCAATAAACACAAGAAAGTGGCCGTTAAAGATGCTCGACCAAAGCCATTCAAAATATGGCCAGAAAACCAATGAGACTTGTCAGAAGAGGAGAGCAGAAGTGAGCGTATAAATATAAAACTAAATAACTAAAGTTGATCATCTCCTAGACCCTCCAATATCAAGGCACGACCAACCAAACCTTTCCACTTGCCAATACAAAAATTTAAAAGCCGGCCAATAAGACATAACCGAAACTTAGAGCTTCCAAGATGGAACGATCACTAACAAATACACACATGGGAAACAAAAACGCCCATCACACACAATTGATTAAAAAATGACACACCACCCCACCTGAAAACCCCCGAGCACCAAACTATCAGCCTCCGAAGCAAAGCACGAGCCACTCATATCGAGGATGCTAAATGACTAACACTCTTTAGACAAACTTATTTCTCCAGAGACCTAAACCCCCATAACTCAAAATAAAAACACATATAACCCCTAAAAACCAACTCCAGGACCTCTAAAAAACTACGACACATTCCTCAAACGAAAGCAACCAAATAAAATTCTTAAACCCCTATCACCCCTTCTAAAAATCACTATAGAACTTTCACTTTCTAGAAGAAAAAAAACTAAAAAATATCCCGAAACCTAAATCCCCACTACAAAGCAAAACAAAACCACAAAAAACCCTATAGCTAATCTTCTCCAGGACCTCCCTCAAACATCAAATGCAACAGAACAATATGCCTGCACTACACCTCCCTCCCTACCCTCAACACAATTCTAACGACACTAACTCCTCAAGAACCTTCCTATCATGCCCAGCAAACGTAATACCAAGCATCTTCGCTACTGACAAAATCTCCTCCGCTTCAGCAAACGCAGCATCCCACTTTTTCTTCAAGTCTGAATCTGAAATAGATCTACCTGATAATTCACTAGCTTCAAGATCAGACTTCTTCAACTTGGAATTCTTCAACGCTCGATCTCTTCGATTCCTCTCCACTTTCGATAGGACAGAGTCCTGGATATCCATCATAGAACCAAATTTCTGCACCTTCTTTTTATTCCCAGAGACCATTTCTGGCTCACATGACACATCTTCTAAGACTCCCCCAATACTCTCTTTAACAGGGATATTCAATTTACTAACGTCACCTAATTCCAAAGAGTTAACAGGACCCAAAACTTAATCGACACTCTTCCCACCTGAATCCATCCTAAAATCTTTATGAGAATCCAATAAAGTTTCAGACTTTAATCCCATCCTTGAAGGAAGCTCTATCTCTGGCGAAACTATCTCAGAAGCGCCCACCAAGACTCTATCCTCCAACTTTGAAATCCCATCTACAATAGGACTGGTCACTTTTGACTCTATAGCCAAAGTATCAACCCCAACAATATCCAAACTTTGCAACCCCACGTGATTGCAATGATCTGAAATTTGAAAGCCAACATTTTGACCACCATCCTCGACACCACACTCTACCTCAATCGGTTTCCCAAAACTAGAGCATGCGACATCACAAGGGATGCCAGCAGAAGGAGACCCTATCATGCCATCAGAACTTCCCAACTCAGAAGCCACCGACAAATCATCTTTAACCGGTGAAACACCTGTAATATTAGCCCCAACCTCAACCCCGTCCTTCTCAACCTCTGTTTTCTTCAAGATTTCAGATTTTGATAGATTTCCTAATGAATTGTCCACCATCCTAACTTCAAGGACACGAACAACAAACTTTTTGTTTTCCACCACTACATCCACAACTTCGTCAATCCGAGCTTCTGAAGAAGTAGAAATCAACATATTAACTTTCTCACAGTCTAAATGATGACTAACATTATCTCCAAACGCCTCAAATCTACCCCACAAGCCAACTAATCTTTTCAGAGTGACAACATTCCAGCAATGCAATAGTAATCCCTCTATCTCTAACCACACAACTCTCTCCTTCTGGCAAAAAGACTCTGTCCAAATCATAACATCCACAAAAATCTCCTTCAAGTAAGACCACCGAAGGTCTTCAAGCATGATAAAAAGATCTTCATCCTCGATGGAGAGAAGAAAAGAGTTCCCACGATGTCTTTGTACTTTGATATCCCCTAAACCCCAGTTATGTAATTTATCAACAATACTCCCAACACTACAAACACCAGCCATAACACCCACCAAACATCTCTTCAACTTTCTTAGTTCCTCCTCATCCACATACCCCTCAACTTCCTTTCTGGAAGCATACATAAGGCTAGCCTCCTTCGTTTGAGCAATACCAGTTGCTAAAGGATTTGCAGTTTTACCTTTCCATACTAATGGCATTTGATGGAAATTTGTTGATTATGTGTCAAAGAATGGTGTTGTAGAAATTAGAAATTTATTGATTAATGATTTCATGTAGATAAATGTCACGGTATTAGAAAATATGTGTTTATTTTAATAATTACCGAAAATTATCCTTCAGTGCTCAAAAGCGAATGAATTAAGCGGGATAGAGAATCTATTTTATCTCATCCTCTTCAATATTCTTAATAGCCATTGTTAAGTGTTCACATGAAAGAGAGATAGATAGAGAGAGAGAGAGAGAGAAAATTTCTTTTACATCCTTAAGCGCATGTTTAGGTCAAATCCTTTCATTTGGTGTTATCCATTCTTAGATTCAAGGATTGATAAGAATCCTTGAAAGTTTAAACGAAGTTAGGGATTTATGCATGTTGTTATAAGCTTTAATCTTATAAGTTGTGTGCTAATCCAATAATGGAAATGATAAATTTTGATACTTTGATGATGATATTAATTAGCCCTTTGTTATTAGTTTAGATCCGGCCACAGTTAGCATGACTTAAGGTATATAAAACTAATGTGCTAGTTATTTAAAGACTTCAATTTTAGCGAGTGATGTGTGTTGTATTTTTGTGAATGTATTCACCAAAGTGCAAACATAAACTATCACAAGTAATAAAATCATATCCCACAGAGAATATAGTGTTATCGAATCAATTAGTTCTTGCAAGATGTTTAAATAATGGATGGAAGAGTCTAAATACTAATACAAATAAGAAAAATAACAATAAATGATAAAGACGTGTTTTTGCACCTAGGGTTGTAACTCACA